GTAAATGGAATGGAAAATTTAACCTTTTTAAAAGACTTTGTAATTGTTAGCTAAGGGGAAGAAAAAACGATGTGAAGACAATACTGTCATTTCTGTTTATCCCCAGGTATGCTTTAACATTTGGAGGAGACAGGTTTTATCACTATTTACAACTTTCTATACCTTCTTTGAAAAGATTTGTTCCCTGACCAGCAAAAAGACCAATAGTCAAGTTGCAAGTACTGCAGGGTATGAAAGTGAAAATACTGGAACAAACCAGAGTCCCACAAATTGAAAGCTAATGAAATAGCAATTGAGGTGGTTGTGCCTCTAAGCCAGAGCATCTCAGTTGGTACTAGAAGTCTCTAAAGAGGGGGAGTAACAGCTGTCATCAATTTTTAACTCGGGCAGGCAAGCTTTGTCACTGTGGTGTAAAAGCATTTTGTTAATACTGTTTTCAAATCTTAGCACATACAATATGTGATTTTTTTTTTTTTTTTTGCAATGGATTTAGTGTTGTTTCTTCATACCTTGAGAATATTTTTGTTTCGGAAGATGCAAAAATCCAGTGCTTTTTTTGAAGTGAAGCTTACAAAGTGGTAGATATTATGTCAAAGTTTCCAAGGCATGTGTAGGCAGCGTTTCTCTTGCTTCAGAAGTTCCTTCCTGGAGTGAAGAAGAGGGGAATGCAAGGAGTGGTTAAAAAGAGAGCAAGAGAGACTGAATACAGGCAATGCAGGTTATGGTTGTACCAGGGAAAGTGTGTTGCAAAATCCAGGAGCCAGTTCCTGATCAGAACTACTCCTGTACGTGGAGTCTGAGTAGGTATTTCACTGTAGAGTATGCCCAAACTAGGTATCTTTGTGCTTTCAGCATAGATGGAGTGCAGAATAGCCTGGGATGTGCTGCCCAGAAAGGTACAGAAGTGGTAGCTCTGCTGCTGTTGAACAGGACTTGTGTCTCTAAGTCCCTTTAATGGCCTTTGAAAAATGCGGTTTGTTTCAGCCTCATCTTGTCATCTAAGTGCACTACTTGATAATAATACATAAGTAAGACATTTGCTTGACCTTAACAGTGTATTTGATACACAGTTACTTTTTTGTAGTTGTTAATTTTGTTAGTCTGTCCGAGATTGGCACCCAAGCTGAAATGTGCGTGGCTCTGGCTTATAACGATTACCGGTAAAACTTCAGGATTTTTTTTTTTTTTACATAGTACAATTGACAATCTAGGTCAGAGCTGTTCTTTTCTTCTGATTTTTATTTTTCTTTGAGCATAAACCAATCTTAAATAAAGAACAGCGTGATTAAAGGTATATGCTACCCATGTACTTCAAAATTAGATATTTTTTTTTCCCCCAACATTGATTGGTTGCTTAGAAACCCAGAGTTGGATTGAACAGGTGTTGGAAAGTCAGCTGGCAATACAAACCATCACTAATAGAGTGTATGGGGAGCTCGGCCTGCTTTGTGGCATCAGTCGGTATGAAGTGCAAGGATTTGATTAACACTGAAATTCCATCTGAATATTTCTATGTGGTTTAATGATAGTATTTGTAATTACAGTTTAAAAGTTCTTACTATCAGAAAGCTTTGAAAAAATGCATGGTCAGTTGGATTGTCAGAATTTATTTGTGTGAGAAATATGCAAAGTTGCTTTCTTTAGTAAGAGAAAGTAATTTGTGTCCAAATTGTTATGTGTTAAGGAGCAATAAAAACATTGATACCCATCTTGCCTGTTGAACTAACATTTATCTGCAGAGTTGCTAGTGTAAGTTTGTTTCAAATATGATTGTGTTGCGTAGTCAAGGGAATTCTTTTTGAGCTGTGTCAGTTTTTGAGAACGTTTCAAAGTGTTGTTTTATTTGATAGCATTTAATAGCTTAGCAAAGTTGGATGGCTCAAAAATGCCTCTGGAGTAATGTTGCAAAACAGAAGATTAATCAGTGAGTCTGACTTACAGCAGGAGCCTATCTGGGGCTGGATTATGGTGGGCACAGTGGTGCAGCTGTCTAACATTAATAGATCTCTACTGGATTGAAACTGGTTTCGTGGTGTGGCACTGTTTCCTTCTGACTACGGTGAGAAATTAATCATAGGAGAGGTGCCTATGAGTTTAAATCTGACATCTTTCTGATGTCAGGTATTTTAACTTTGTGATAATTTGTTCGAATTTGTGAGCTGATAATAATGAGTTACCATGTGATGTGTTCCCTGAATCCTGTCTCAGTTGAGATGTGGTGTCTAGGTGTGCACAATATGTGTATTTCTTCATTTTTTGATGATGTGACTCCTAACAGCTTTTCCTTTTCAGAAATAGATCAAGGAGCTTTGCTGCCAGGCCTGGGGAACGTTCTGAAACTGTAAAAACTGGAATTAAAAATCTGTATTTGATGCCTTCCGTGAAACCAAAACCTAGTTTGTGCATTGAGAGGTGAGTGTGTCTTTAGTTTGGGAGTAAGAGTGCACACTGTAAGCCATCTTTTGACTGCTTACAGTTATTGTGTTCATACCTTGGAGATTTCCATGTGACATGTTCTGAGTTGAAAAGAAAAGATTGCTTTCCTGTCTTGTGATCCTATGTTGACCTTCTAATGTTTTCAAGCATGGTTTTCCCTCGCCTCCTTCTCTAAGTTCACATGAAGTATGTAGGTTTTCCAAGTCATATAAAGCCTTCAACAACTCCTTTGCACATCATGGGCTCTGAAGTTCCTTAAGAATAAAAATTGCTACTGTGTTACTTCAGCAAAAGCCAGTTTGGAGTTAAACTTCTGATGTTTCTCTTGATGCTTTGTTGCTTTGTCTCGCCGAGGAGACCAACTCCAGTGCAGGCAGGTCTCCAGTGGGGAAAGGAATCACAGCCGCGAGGGCCGACAAAGGGTGCTTTTTGGGGCTTTTCGAAGTTTCTGGAAGGCGGGAGGAGGGGCAGGCCTGGGCCAGAGCTGGCAGCGCGTGAGCGGGGCTGTGACGTGGCAGGGGTGGAGCCACACACCCCCGGCGGTACTTATAAACGAGCTGCGAAAGAGTGCTGCTGTGTTGGCCACTCGGAGGGGCATGGGGGAGCATTCAGGAGAGAGCCCGCAGAGCCGCAGCGGCCAACAGGCGTCTGTTCTGTAGAAGGGCGTGCGGGCGGGGGGCTGAGAGCACCGCCAGCTCAAGAGGTAAGATCACTTGGTAGTACCCGGTCCCCCTCCCGTTTCAAGAGGCAAACCAGTAGTCATTGCCCTCCCGGAAGAGGACCCAACCATGGTTACCACTCAGCCAAAAGCTGTTGCTAGAAGGCATGTTGTGACTCAAACGCAGCTCCCACACAAACCTGCAGCCGTGCAGGTCTCTGGCTGCAGAGAGTGCTTGAGCCTGTCCATCATACTGGAGGGCAGCAAAGACAACACCTTTGTGCGCTCTGAGCAGGGGAATGGTCTGTTCCGCATGGTGGCAGAACTGAAAGAGGAGGTGGAAAGGTTAAGGACTATCAGGGAGTGTGAGAGAGAGATTGGTGGAGCCACCCCCTGAGGCCAAGGGAGCAGACTGAGGCTCCACAAGTAGCAGAGGATCCCCTCCCTTCTTGCCATCAGGCAGAAGGAAGTGACCTAAGAGAAGGAGAGGAATGGAAATAGGTCTCTACATAGGGAGGCAGATAAAACCCTCCCCAGCCTTCGTCACCTTCCCAGTTGCCCTTATGTAACAGGCATGAGGGTCTGGAACTTGAGGAGCAGATGCATGAGGACACAGGAAGACCCGTCCAGGGGGTTGTGAAGGGAGAGCCAGCCAGCCCCGTGCACTAGGACTTCTAATATTAAAAAGAAAAGAAGGGTAATTGTTGTGCGTGATCTCCTTCTAAGGGGAACAGAGGGCCCCATATGCTGACCAAATCCATCCCACAGGGAGGTCTGCTGCCTCCCTGGCGCCCGTGTCAGGGACGTCACCAGGAAACAGTGGTGGAGTCCCCATCCCTGGAGGTATTTAAGGGTCATGTAGATATAGTGCTCAGGGACATGGTTTAGTGGTGGGCTTGTCAGTGTTAGGGTAATGATTGGACTAGATGATCTTACAGGTCTTTTCCAGTCTAGGAGATTCTGTGATTCTATAGAGAGGCTTAGGATGGTGGAGTTGGGATAAGAAGGAAAGAATAAAGTGGCTGCTGCATATTTGCGGCTACGTTTTGTAGCTTCCTGTGTAGTCATTTCTTTGTTTTCCATTGTATGGCCAGTTCAATCCCATATGCTGTTAGTTTGGTGTGAAAGACAAGAGGAAAAAGAAAAACCAATGCTTTCTATCACCTTCCTTCACAGAAAAAATAATATGGTTGTAAAAATGACTGTTGAGAATTATAGATCAAGCATATTATTTTAACTAATTTGCAGCTTCTTGAAGGATCATTTCTAAATTCCCTCTGGAATAAATGCACTAACTGCTTTCACCTTAGACTGTGAGTTATTTCACATAATAATGGCAAATTTTGTCACAGTTGCCTCTCTGTTAGTGCAACTAAAATTC